ATATAACGTAACAGAAACGATAACAGGACTGGCATATGCATTTACATTGAAAATTTCGGCAATGAAGGATAGAATACCTCGATTTGTAAAAATAGGCTCACTTTCTTGTATTGAATACCTGAAATGATCGAGCTTAGGATAACAAAACAAACCGAAAACCTTGACAGTCGAGGAATCTCCATCCAGGCACAACGGAATTTCTTGACTACCCTCGAGTATAACAGAAAGTATTTTTGGAATGGCTGGAGAACTTTCTGAGTTCAAACCCGCCTGTTCCAAATAAGACCAACAACTCATTATACAGTTCCAAAGCCTCATCACTATTTCGATCACCAGTGATTACGTTGTCTACATAAATCTGGTCATGACACTGGTCAGTTATAGGAGAAAATTATGGCCTCCTTCCCGAAATAACTGTAAAATGACTCTCTGAGCAATAAAGGGAGAAAATTTCAACCCAAATGGCAAGGAAACCAACTTATACTCCTATATCGGCTGTGAAGATTCACTTCTCAAAAAAAAAAGTAATTAGTTTTGATTAGTTTTAGTAATGCTGATACACCTAAACATCATTTTTATATCGCATATCATGGCCACAGGAAAGCATCTAAAATGGTCTATAAGTTCCGCAATATCAGTCTGGAGCTGCGGACCGGTCAAAAGTAAATCATTCAGTGAGTTTCCTCATGCCATCTTCTCCAAACCGTTAAATACGACAGTAAGCTTTGTCGTGGAAGAATCTTTAATGACTCCATGATGGGTCATGATGTATGGAGAATGTTTCTTGGCGAGACGGACATGATCCAGTCTTACAAATTCGTCCTCTTATACTTATACTCCGGATCTCTCATAAATCTATTTTCCAGATTTCTAAATCTGCATAGAGCTACCTCTCTAGTGGAATCAAGGTTAATCGGCTGGTTAAAAAGAAACGGAAGCAAAACAACGAATCTACCCTGGAGATCACGAGTGCGTGCATCTATAAAGTGATCTTCGAAAAATGCATCTTCCGGATTAGGCGGAATCGAAACTATTACTTCCCTATTTTCCCAAAAACGCCTAATCACTTTAATTCTCTACCTATAAGGAAAGGCTGGTATGCGTGAAAAGAGTACGTTCTGAAGGTGTAGGGCTTTCTGAGAGGGTATCCCCAAATAATAGCCATCCTAATGAGGTATAAATAGCCTTCGGGTTGACCTTTTAGAAATAAAAAATTGTCACTTACAACCTATTCGTACATCTCAGCACCCAGAAGTAGATCAACTTTACCCGGCGTATGCAATTGAGGGTCTACAAGTTCAATGGAAGCAAATTTATTCTGTACTTCTTAGAATACGGCAAATTTCCACTGTTGTTTCTCATTGAACCCAACTTCACTTTAACTTCAGCTGAAGATGAAGAGATGGAGGTATTATCTACTCCAGACACCACAAGAGGACTAACCTGGGAACAAAGGCACAACCTTTTTCATTAGATCAGTGTTAATTAAATTAATTTGGGAACCTGGATCTATAACCATTCTGCATGAATACCAATTACCTGAACTTGAAAAAATTCTACCTAAGGCAGTACACAGAAGTACCTGTGAGTTGGTGGTAACTTGGCACAGAACTGCACGAGAATTGTTTGTTACTTGAGACTGAGAGGGCTCAGTGTTCGCTGCCTTATCATATGGTGACTCTTTTTGCCACAAACTTGGTAACAGCTTTTATTTTGGCATTTAGGCAAGCGACGAGGTCCTGTACAAGAAAAGCATAAATCAGTAGGTATCTCTTTTAGTAGGTCATAACGACCATTAACATCGGCATCCAGACACTGATAGCAGTTTATAATTTTATGGCTTGATTTACAGACTGGGCATTCTAACTTAAATTCGCTGTTCTAAAGTTTTTCGCTGAACTTTAGGTTGTGAAATTTTGGACGTAGAAGGCTCTGAACACGTTTCTGTGACTCTAAGTTGTGACCTAACAAATTTGAAAAATTCATCAAAGCTAAGAACTGTCTCTTTGCTGAGACTATTCTCAAACATTCTTCTTGTATTATTGTCTACAACGTTCAGTCCGAGATGCAGTACAACAAAATCAGCGAGGTTATTGAGTCTAAGATTTTTTAAGGCATATCTTCAAATGTATCCAGAAACTTTCTAAAGTTGGAAGAATTATTAACAGAAAATTATTTAAACTGTATAATTTTGTTAAGACAGTTGGCCGCAATGATCCTTATATTACTATAACGCTTTACTAATTTATCATAGGCCAAGTTGTGATTTTCATCGTTAAACTCAATTGAATAAATGGCCTGTGAACTAATCAGGGTGAACTAAAGGTGACATGAGATAAAAAATTTTGGCTATATCCTTGTAATTTCGATGATGAACTGAGGCATCAAATAATTACTTAAACGAAGGAAATTGTTCGTACTGTCCAGAAAATTGAGGAATTTGTAGCTCTGGCAATTTATGATGTGCTACAAGTTCAGACACACTGGGTTGAGGAGCGGGAACTACTATATGCTCAGCTTTAATTAATCTCTCATGAGCAAATCCTATCTCTTAATAAAGTTCTTCTGCTGCTAAAGAAGGCGCGTTTATCTCAATCCTATGTTCCTTCTCTAATGATTCATTTAGCACCGAAATTTTGTTCAATACTGCTTCAAATTCCTTCAGTTGTGCCTTAGTTTCCGAAGCCCTAGCCATAAAAATTTCTTCTCTAGCAGGGAAACCCTTAATCATATGGAAAGTGGTTGGAATTCTATGACACAGCCTTTCCTTTCTACCATTAATAGCTTTAAGTCACTTATTACTCTTAGTTGGCGCCATCTTCAAAGTTGTTGAAAAAATAAAAATTTAAAATTTAATTTTAATTGCTGAAGGCATATCTAATTTTGTTCAAAATACATGCAAATATCAGCAAACCAGGCTAGGACCAGCAAAATTAACGTAAGAGCTAAAAAAGTTAAGTAATTCCAGCAAGTCACTACCTGGAAAAAGCTTGGAAAAAAACATCCCCAAACACATAACGAATGTATTTTCCAATTTTAATTAAAGTAAAGGCAAATGTCTCTAATGATTTCAACATAGGAAACACTTGACTTATTTTGGCAGTGGACTGTATTTTGATTAAGTGGTAGATTATATGAATTGTATAAAATAAACTCACCCTTTTATGCTGACATAGACATCTTACTTAACTGAAAGGGCTATCCAGTCTGTTTCAACCTCTGAGAATTCCTGCGGTGGGATGGGGCGAGAAAAACTCGTAACTGGCGCGAATTAAATTTTATCTTTTAGATCTTATCTGGTTTGTTTTCACTACTCGCCACAACGCGACGACTGGATATAATAGCTTTTACACAAAACACTCATGTTTCCCCAAAAATATGCGGAAAAGGACGAATATAAAATAATTATTTTTATGGTCAAACAAACAACGGTACTAAAGAAATACAAATCAATGATATTCGGAGGTCAGAGGGGTCCAATCCAATCATTTTAAGAAGATAAAAAAGTACAAACATTTACGTTGGGGACCCTCGGAGAGGCCCCATAATGTGCGGAAATAAACAAATAGAAAACAATTATTTTTGGAGTGATAGAAAAATGTAAAACAATGATTTTGTGTACCCTCCGGGGGCTCTCTGGCTCGGGGGCCCTCGGTGATCGCCGACTACCCGACTTAGCCTGTCCGTATATGGAGCAAAAAACATCAGGATGATTTACACAACTTCTGAACTCATATTTTATCAATTTCGATCTATTCTAAGCGGCTAAAAATCACAAACTGACTTCAAGTTTAGTGGAAGCGTTTAAATGAAGTATGAGATTCTTCCCAGTGACGAAGTGGAGATTCCTTGCCCGGTCAAGCAAGAAGGAAGCGGTTTATTGAGTCAAGCAGGCGATTTTACTTCTCTTTTCAAACTTACCTCAAAAACTAGAACTTATAGAATAACTAATTTCATATTTAGATTCAGCGCCCCAATCACAGCTTAAATCAGCTCCAAAATCCTAAGCATCATTTTTTTTTTCTCTTGTAGGCCTGTATAATTTTTTCTCTCACTTACCTATGTATGAAAATAGCTAAAAGATAAATATATTTCTGCTCAAAGTAAAGTGGGTAAGTGAAGGTTGTGTAATGCGCGCACCGCACAAGATTTACTTGCTGGCCTCTTGAGATAGACTGATTAACGATAAACAAGTATACATCTGATACTTTCGAAATCATTTTTCTTTCGCTCGCAGATAGGTATTGATATTTTGTTTCTAAAAAGATTCAATGTTCAACCTTTGTGCGCCGTTCTTACTCCATTAAGAGTTCAGTAGACCTTTTATTTTTTTTTAGATACATTTCTTTATTGAATAATATTACATTATGTCACTGTTACAATTGCAGTATCAAACAGAGAACACGCCATGTAGTATGAAATATAGTGTATAATGAAGAGTTTTAAAAGTATAACACTCTCAATGTGGACATGATTAAGTGAGAATATCCGCCGACCGGAAGCAAAATTAAAGACGAAATTTAAAATTAATTAGGAAATAACAGAAGAAGTATCATAAAGTTGGGATGTTCTACGGTGCATTATGTTGTAAATTAAATCAAAGTCGAAGTTTTTTTGCAATTTACGCCGAAAACGTAACCGTGTCCGAATTTAGATTTTCTGGTCGAAACTGTAACCGGGATCGAAACTTCGGTTGGTCTTTAAATTTATATAGCCATTCTATTTAATGACTGTCGTAGGTTTGCTAAAACTGGTAATCCTAATTATCTTTTCGCTTAAATTTGTAGCTGAATTTATTCTTCTGATCATAATATATACCTATTAATGTTTTTTAATTGTTTTATTTTTGTTACTGATGATTAATAATAATAAAATTATTTTCCTTTTTAATAAATCAGGTGATAATTTTAGAAACACAAAAATCAAAACACATTGTAGAAACAATTTTACAACTACATAGCTAGCAGGACTGGCCAGCTAATAATAGTCAGGTTGCAAAGGTTATATTTACGTTTGGTCTGGACTCAAGGAATGGACGAACAAACTAGCTCACACCGCTGCACTAGAATACTCTACTTTACATGGAAAATTTTCACATGTTTATTTACACATGTTATGCTGGTAACATTGGTTGTTGCCTATTGCATGCTGGGGGCGGTAACATTCGAACATTTAGAGAGAGATAATGAGATATTTGTAAGTATATTGACTTATTATGCTTGTTGATGTTTGATAATCTAATTTTTTCTCATACAACCAGCCGAAATTCTTCGTACATAATACTTCTTTAAGTTATATTAGTTTACTATCGCAAAAATTTGTTGGTGATTTTCTTATTAGTATTTTTAACAAACATCTTGAGTAGTTGATGGTTTACACACTGTTTTATTTTTTAATAAAGCTCAATACTTTTTTTTTTATAAAACAATTTATTTCTTAATGACCTAAAATCATACAACACACACATTAATTAACTCGGAACAGAGATAAACTTGAGACGACTAAACCAATGACCATTATCTAATCATTGGATATTATTAAATATTAATATTATTAATATTGATAGATTAATATTAAATTATATTATTAATATTAATAGATTAACAATGTTTCTAACAGCACAACTACCATAAACATAATTTAAAAATCTAGTTATGTAATAAATGGATTCATAATAAACAAAAATAAATAAATAAAAATGATTTTTGTACGCAATATTTTTTTTGTAAACCAAACAGGAGGTGAACTACAGAGCTTTCAAAATGGGTAAACTTTTGAAAATTCGCAAAAACCGTGCATTTTTTTGTTTTTAATTAATTATCTTTTTCCATCATTATCCTAGTTATATTTTCAGACACTTTGGTAATTCTTCCTCTTCTGTTTACTGAATGTTTCTAATTTTCTGATCCACTTTCCCGTTTTTCTCCATTTTGAGACAAAATACCTTCTACGATTTTCAGATACTTTGAAGAACATTTAGCTTCGTCTTTTTTCATATTTCTTTGTGAAGTGATTAAAGCATTTATTATGAAAAATGTATAATTATTTATGATATGGCCTAACTACAGAAAAAAACAGAGGGAGAAAAAAAATTGAAAATGAAATTAATTATTAATATATGATTTTTTCTAAACAGTGCGGTAATCATTCATTGTATGAAATTTAGATTATGTATATATTTTATTCTACAAAACAGACAATAATATGAATCATTTCCGGAAAGTATATAAAATTGAACCGATTTCTAAGAATCAATTAATAACAAAAGAAAAGTTTAATATTACTGAATTCTGTTTTATTATTATAAATACATAATTTTTACAATATTGCCTGTCTTAAATGTCCTAGAATATAAGAATGTAGGAGGTAAAAAATAATTGTTTTGGATAGTTAAATTATTGTATTAAGAAACGTTATTATAGCAATATAATTATGCCATTCATGAGTACTGAGTGATGTGGCAGAGGAATCTAGGCGCCTTTGCCATACCCGATTAAATGTATTTTTAAAAAGTAATCAGTGATTTAAAAAGAGAAATGTATTCTCCATATATTTTCATATTGTGGGCCGTTTATTTATAAACGAGACTTGTTTTTTAACTTTTAAGTTACAAAATTGACTTTACTAGTGTTTTTTATTGCCAAGTTCAATTAATTTTTAATATTTATCATGTTTTATTATTCTCTAACTACCCAGCTTGAATAAAAGACCAATTATGACGAAATTAAGCCAAATGCCCCCGAATGCTGAATCTACGTAACTGAAAAACTAACTCAAGACAAGTGGTGAATTCGCCATGTTTGGACACAATTTTGGGACAATGCGAGGAATTTTTTTGGTTTAAAAAGAAAAAAAGAAATATTTACAACTGTTTTATTTAATCAAAATAGTCTACTAGTATCAATACATTTCTGCGAACGTGTTGGCAACTTTTCCATTCCCTCGGAATAGAATTTCCCATCTTTAGAATTGATAAACTCCAAAAACACATTTTCTAATTACCTTTGTCCATTCATTTTTTTGTCAGGTAAATAGTGGTCCTAGTGTCTAAAAAAATGGTAATTCGTTGGCGTGAGGTCCGGAGAGTAGGGCGGATGTGGAAGAGTTTCATATCCAACAGATTTCGTGACATCACACGTGAGATATGTGGCTGGGCGTTGTCATACAACATTGACGATTGCATTAATTTGGTTACAATACGATTCGGCCTTGATAGTTTCTCCAGGATTTAAGAAGCTTTAGTGTATCTAACCAAATAAAGCCCACCAAACACTAACCATCATCTTTTTTTTTTTTATGATTTGGAGGCTTTGGAAAATGTTCTGCTGCTTCTCCTTTGTCGAGCCACTGTCCAGAACGCCTACTGTTATCGTAAAGTATCTAGTTTTCAACACAAGTAACAATTCTGGACTGAAAAGCTTCGTTTTTGTTTCGGCAAAGAAGTGTTGCACAAACTTCAAAACGCTATTTTTTTGGCGGTCGTTTAATGTGTGTGGAACTCAACTTTAAAGCTTTCTTACCTTTCTTGAGGTGGTTAGTCGAATTGCTAAGGTTAAGTTTCCCTGCAAATGCTCGAACAGTTTTTCTATGGTTTTCAACCAAAGCCCACAGAACATCGTCATCAAGAGAGGAAGTCCTTCCACGACCTTCTTTGTTTTCTAGGCTGAAGTTCCCATCCCGAAATTTTTCAAACCACCGTTGAACATTGCACTCATTAATGCTGCTCTCGACCCAAACTTCATTAATGTTTATGTTTGTCTGGACCTCATTCCAACCGAGTTTAAATTTGTAAAACAAAATTATACGAAAATAACGTGATGAAATCTTAGTAAACTGAATTATTTCTAAGCAGCGAAGTGCTACAGAGGTAAAAAAAATATCGTTTGGTAGAGGTTTCGTAAGTGTTGACATTCATACAAATGAATAATCCAGTAAACGTAAACACTTTGTTTTATAGCGGGGTATTTTAAATAAAACTCAAAATCCTTCATTATTTTCTAGGCAACCCAACATTTTGAATATTATTAATTTTTAAAAATATGGGTTGAAATAAAGTTCATTTAAAAGTAATTAGAAAATCAGTAATTGCTGGTGACCAATTTTATTAAAATAAGTGGAAAGCAGTAAAAATAAAATTATAAGGATTTTCTCAAATTTCAAAACATCAACTTGTTTTTAGCGATTTGTATTTAAGTTGTTACGTTTAGAAAAATAAGTTTCCTATAAAAGCTGTAGTACATTGTATGTGTTTTAATATTTAATTTAAATATTTTAACTACGTCACCTATAAAAACAGATAATTAATAAAATAAAAAAAAAATATAGTTTTTGGAGCACTGCACCGAACACACAAGGGTTTGAGGGGCGGAAACTTCGAATTTTTATATTCACTACATACCCAACAATATAAAAAAGAAATTTGAATAATCCGACCTTTTGCAAGGTAGCATGTCTAATTTGACTGGGCTGTAGTAAAAATCTAAACTCATGCATTATAAAACTGAAAATGCGCTAAATTGTGTAGTAAAAACTCCAAAAATGTAAACTTGCAGGGGTGACCAGAAGGGGGTTTTATGGTGCAAGTTGCCCCATCAAAATTAACGAAGGGCCACTTTTTGACGTGGTTTTTAATTTTTGAGGGAGGCACATTTCGATGGTGTTATGAATTTTCAAAATGAAAAGTTTCTAATCAAAAGACAAGTGGAATCATGAAACAGACCTCAGGATGTGTAATGGTATATAATCTACGAATATTCAAATTCTAATTTCATTCGCACTGTTTTTAAGAAGAGAGGAATAAAATATCTTGGAAGGGGTGGGGGAAGGTTTATGCGCCATCGGCCTTGGTGGGGAGGGGATGGGCACCCCATGTAAACTTGTGTACAAAGCACATACTGCACATACAACAATCACAGTATTTGTTTAATTTATACTATTATATAAAAAGCTAATATCCTCTTATGTTAGATTTACAGCCTCTAAATTGAAGTCAGACATAATATTTTTAACAATATGACCCGCGGCATTTTGAAAATGTCACGTTTTCGGAAAGAGTACACTTTAAACTAGGCAACGCCAAGAGAACGCGAAGAGAATACACAGTTTTCGGCGGCCATGTAGCTATTTCGCCGGCATAGGGGTTTTCTATAATTTCTTTTGATTTTATAATGTTAAACTTTAATAATAACGAATAATGGTTAAGAACTGATTATCGAGAACTGCCTAGCAAAATTCGTATTGTTGATCTGTTGTTGGTAGTGTTGCCCAATACTTGTATAGGGGAAAATTGTTTGAATTGAAAATTTATGAAACAATGGATCATTTTTTATATTCATAAAAGGAATCTAATTAGAGTGTTTGTCTTTATTGCTATAGAGATATTACTGTATTTTTTTAGAAAGGACAAACATAACCAAGTCTGAATGAAAAATTAGAAAAGTTAAATTCAAAAGTATATTGGTTATACCTATATTTTACGTATTGTAACTAAAATTGTCTGATATTAGTAACTATTTTGCCTAAATTATTATTCAAAAAATCGATATTTTTTACCAGTCTTGGTCTTGCAACAGTTACGCGGTCTTGGTCTTGGATTTGAATTTGCACTTACAAGAACAAGACTGATTTTGGGGAACACTAGTTGTTAGAATTCAATTACCATTGTTTGGACTTGAGAAACATATTGATAAAGAAGAAGTGAAATCTTCTAAAAATTAATTTAATTTACTACTTCGATTAGCGAAAGGTTGTCGCCTTCGATAAGTTTTACAGCATTCTAAAAATGAGCTACTTGGTAGTGTACAAACTGCTGGCACAAAACATTTAATTCTTAAAAACTGCGTTATTACTGGAGTCATAAATTAGATGTCAAATTATTCGCTCTCGAAATAAGCCTTTAGAACTAAATTCTCAACCTTATTTCAGCTAAATACAATGTCATTTGATTAAGATTTGCACCAGATTATGTAAAATTAATTATTGTAACAACAAATTTGGACTATTGTTTGGATTTTTTAATTACCTTTTTAGCCAAATTTTTAATCAAGAACTCCCTCCTCTCCCGCTCAATGGTGTCCCGCTTTAATAATGTTTTTTATTATTTTTTTATTTTTATTTATTTATATGATATTTACAACTGTATACAAACAATACATCTAGTAAATTCGCACATGGATATAATGACATGAAACACATGTTGAGAAACTACCCATGTGTAGCACTCTAATAATATGTCTATATTAGATCACATGGCCATCTTCTTTTCAGACGCCTCGAAGGGTTATCAGGAATTGAATAGGAGGCAAAGTTAGAAACAAGAGGGTTGGGATGGTTATGAAGTTTATTATGGACGGAAAGATATCTGGATTTGGCCAAATCTGATACATAAGGAACATTAAGGTTATTATGGATGATTTTATTTGTAACAAAATAAGGAGCATTGAGGATTTTACGAAGGATTTTGGATTGTAAGGATTGGATACGAGAGGAATTTGAAGATTTGGTGGAGCCCCATAGCTTAATTCAAGTCCAAATAGGCCTTATTATAGTTATGTAAATGAGTCTTTTGTAATTAATTGGAAGGTTAGAGCGTTTGTCTAGTAAGTGTTGAAGTAGTCGGAAACGTTGAGATGTTTCTTGTCGTTTCAGTCTGGTATGAGGAATCCAAGTTAGACGTTTGTCCAGGTGGAGTCCTAGGTAATTACCAATGTTAAAATCTGGTCACCTTAGGCATAACTAACATGACCAGATATTTTGTGCCCTAAAGTGGGCAACCCCATAAGACGTCAAGTCAGTTAAATTTTGTAAAAAAAAAAAAAAGTCATAATTGAAAAATAAAGATTGTATTTAGGCAATTATGTTTATTATAATACATCCCAGAACATAGGAAACAAGAAATAAAAACTTTGCAATCTTAGTCATTTTTGCTGAAACACAAGTTATTTTCATGAAAACCTAAATAGTTGGATTAGAAATATTTATTTCGTCACTAGTAAATACAGGTTAGTTCTTATAATAGAGATCTTAGAACATTATAAATAATCACAATAAAACACAATTTTATAATAATTTTACAGGAAAAATGTTTATTTGATGTATTTAGGCAAATGTATTTATCATAATTCATCCCTTGATTTAGCAAATAATGGAAAAAGCGTGAAATAATAGCTTTTACAAAAATTTATTTCAATTATTTTTTCTGAAAACACGGGTACTAATGTTTTTACACAACTTGAGGTGAATCTCATGTTTTTGCCTAATAAACCTTTATTAATAATTAATTAATATGGACTTCAGTTTAATCAATGAGGAAGTTGTTCTAAAAGTGGGATATCAGTAGTACGGTTGGAGGATAATAAAAAAAAAAATCGGGAATAATTTACGATTTTTTTTAAAAACCGAACTTAGCCACTCGAAAGTCCCCTTCAGTTGGTTTTAATGGGGATGGATTCTACTCTCATTTGAAGCAAATTTTATCTAATTTACAGAAGTAATGATTTTTAACTACTTAAATTAAATACTTTTTTCGTCACCTCTTTCTATTCAACAAAAAACGTGACCTACTTACAAAAACACAAACAATTTACTACTTTCCTGCTGGAAATCGGGCCATTGTTTATATTAACTTTTTTGTAGCACTTGAAGTCTACTTTCACTCCTATAAATATTTCCTTCTACTAACGGGACACCCTGTACATTAATCTTGTTAGTGACTTGTCGAATTTCTTGGCTAATCAAATTATAAATAATGAAATAGACAATTGTTCTTCCACTATATGAAAATAATAGTAGCCTGAATTTTACTTCTCATGCACTCATTTTTTTTTTTTTTTGGTTAAATTAGATTTAAGTTAGGTCATACCGTGCGCAATGATGTAGTTATTACATTTACTTCTTAATTAATTGATTTTTTTTCTACAGGTAAAAGAAAATATTACGTATATGAGAAGAAATATAACGGAAGACTTGTGGCTATATACAAAAGACATGCCAGTTCTTCGGCAAGAAAATTGGACTATTCACGCATTGAAAAAGCTGAAGGTATTTGAAAATGACCTGGTCTTAGCTATGAGAAAGTCTGGTTGGGACGGTTCAGAAGATATTAACTCTCTCCAATGGACATTCGCTGGAGCTTTGTTTTATTCCATAATTGTTATAACGACTATTGGTAAACATTAATATTACATTAAATTAAAACAACTAATATTCTATCTCTCGAATACATATAACTGCTTATATTTATATATATATATATATTAAACCTGTCAAACGCGCGCAAAAATATGATTCCAAAGTTTTAACATACCACCACATCATTATGAAGACCTTTGATCCTTAACGTTCTCATTATCAAAACTTATAATCGGAAGTTTTCCAAAGTTTTAATGGAATTGATTTTTTTTCAATTTGTTTCTCTTCATGGTTATTTAGTGGTGTTATATCGTGTTTGGCATAGAAAAATAAAATGAAAAAAAAACAACACAAATTGCTTCTTTGATCACTATTCTTAGAAGACAAAGTATTAATTTTTCTGAAGTCACAATCAAATGAAAATGAATGAAATATTCATACACTGGTTCAGACCAGCTAATGTAAAATGGAATAAAAAAATAAAAAAATCACATAAAGACTGCTTCCGTTACATTCAAAACTGCGTAAGTAGTGAGTGACACCGGAATCTGCTAATTAAAAAGATGTTAGAACCTAAATTATATTACAACTCTAATACGGAAAAAAATATAATTCATTTGTGGATTATATCCAATCAATGCCCATTGGTTCAGAACATATGAAAACCTAGCCAGTAGAACAATTAAAAAGTTTATTGCCGAGGAAAAAAAAATATAAAGGGTGTCGTGTAAGTAGAAGAAAATTTTTATAGGAATGATAGCAGACCTCAATACAGTACATATAAAAAAAGAGAAAATTTTCAGCAGAAAAGTAGGAAATCTAGGTTTTGTTTTTTGTTGAATATGAAGAACTAAATAAAGAATTATTTAATTTAAGCAATTAATAATTGCTTCACTGTAAAATGGACAAAATGTATTTCAAATGAAAATAGAGTTTGCCATTGTTAAATGCATTTAAAGACGACTTTTGAGCGACTAAACTAAGATGATATCTGTATAAAAAAAAAAAAAAAACTTATTCGTGATTTTTTTTTATCATTACCCAACTATTCTACAGACATCACATTTTTAGAAAAACTTCATCCTTTAATAATGCTGCAAGGCAATATGGATTAAGTTGAGGTTTATTCGACAAAAATTTAGGATTCACCTCAAGTTGTGTAAAAAAATATGTAATTTTCTATCTAGTCAAATAACAGTACTCGTGTTTTCAGCCAAAATGACTACAATTACTTGTTACAGAGATTTTATTTCTTGTTTTTCCATGATCTGGGATATATTATAATATACTAAATTGCCTAACTCAACTTTTCATTTAAAATAAAAAATAATGATTTAAAATAATAATAAAATAATGATAAAAATAAGTGTTCATGAAGCTGTTTTTTTTTTCTCTCCCAGATGTCAACAAGAAATAAAAGTTTTTACAACAGTTTATTGTAGTCATTTTTTTATGAAAACACGGGTACTTTTAGGCGACAGGATAAGAAATCACATAATTATTTCACTTTTATTTAAAAAATTAAAAATATTGACTTCTTAAATATTTTTCTGGTGAAGTGTTTATGAAACTATTTTTCAGTCAGACGTCTATTATAGCAATTTATCAGTATTTATAAGTGACAAACTAAATGTTTATAGTCCTAAAATTTACGTTTAAATATAAAGAAACCTGCTATTTATCTGTTATTTTTATGAAAACGTAAATATTAGGACCAGTCACTATAGGGCTTCATAAATTTGAGAAGGTCTCAGAGTTTCCTTATCTGGGTTCTGTGCTCAATCAAGATAATAATCCCGATATAGAGATAAGAAGAAGGAAAACAGCAGCCAACGAATGCTACTTTGGATCAAGCAAGCAGCCAAGCAGCCGGATGCTTTCCAGACAGGCCAAGCTCCACCTCTATAAGACATAGGTGCGTCCTGTACTCCTTTATCAATCGGAGTGCTGGACAACTTCGAAGGCCACTGAAAAGGAACTCCTTATTTTTGAAAGAAAAGTTCTCTGCCGTGTTTTGGTGGAGTGAAAGTTGGAGAGGAGTCGAAGCGGCGCACGAATTAGGACCTGTACAATACTTTCATAGAAGCTGATATTGTGAAAGCAATGAAGTTGAGGCGCTTAAGATATACAGGGCATGTTGCTAGGATGGCAGACGGAGAAATGCCTAAAATACTGCTTACACAGCCAATCCATGGAACAAGGAGAAGAGGGAGACCAAAGCTGAGATGGTTAGATGGTGTGGCGAGAGACGCCCGCGGCATGTTGGGAGTTAAGAACTGGATGGCGTCGGCACTAGTCCTGGAGGAGGTCAAGACCTGTAACCGGATTGTAGCGCCATGAAAAAAACTAATATATATATCAGAACCAAGAACACTAAGTTTGTCAATTATAAATACGGACCAATAGAGGTCTGGATGAAAAATCCGTTTTCACTACCACTTTACCTGAAAGAATATTTTTAAAAAATATTGTTTAATTTTGTAAATAAAAGTGTTTTTAGGCAACTATTTTTAGAAAAACAAACAATAAAAGCTTTGCAATAATTAATTTTAGTAAATTTAATTGAAAAAACAGGTACTTTTCGCAACAAGGTAAAAAGTCACATAATTTTCGTACACAACTTAAGATGAATCTCAAGTTTTACCCAAATAAATCACAATTTAATTAATATAGACCTAAAACATATTTTTTAAAAGTTTATTTATTAAGGAATATAACAATCTGTCACACGAACAATAATTACAGTGGGATAATAAGATAGGGCCGGGGTAGCGGTGATGTCCAAGGGGTAATCAAAATTACCAATAGGCTAGAATCAATAGAACCAATAGGTAATCAAAATTAAGCAACGTCGAGCTAGGTTAGTAATTGAATAGGTGACCGTCCACCAGGGACAACCACGCTGCCCGAAATTCCTCCCTCGGGTATGTGAGATCAGTCAGTCTACTGGAGGCAACTCACACCGCAGGGAGGTGAGCGCCCCTGTGTCTGATATAGCTCCTGGTCCTCCAGGTTGGGTATAGGGCTAATAACCGTACCCCTTAAAAACGCAGTGATACGAAACCAAAAATCTGAATGTCTCAACAAGGTAACAATTCCGCCTTTGTATAACGGACTCCATATTGGATCATGGGATGTTCGCAGCTTATACAGACCAGAGGGGTCGCCCAAGCGGTAGTAAATGTAGTAAAAAGGTACACCATACCGTTAACAGCCATACAGAGGTAAGGTGGCTAGATGGTGGTGAATCCACTATAGACGGCCACAAACTATTCTTCACCTGGAGAAACGACAAAAATGGGACAGCTGGCACTGAATTCATAGTTAATCGGGCCGCAAGGAAGTCAGTAATATAATCTAATAAACTTCACCCCAGTTAATGAAAGCATAAGTGTGCTGCGCGCTAGAGGTCGTTGGTTTAATATCATAATTATTAACGTGTATGCACCAACCGAAGACAAGGAATATGAGGTGAAGGACAATTTCTACGATCAGTTAGATAAAATATGAAATATGACATAAAATTAGTCATGGAACTAATAGACTTCAATGCCAAGATAGGTCAAGAAACCCAGTTTAGGCCCTTTATTCGGAGGCCAAAGTCTTCACAAAACCAGCAGTGATAATGGAGTGAGATGTATCAGTCTGGCAGCAGATAAAGGTCTAGTTGTGAGCAGTACGATGTTCCCGCTCAAGGAAATACATAAGTACATCTGGGTAAGTCCTAAAGAAGCAAAAAGCCAAATCAACCACGTGCTGATAGACAAGAGGAATCAAAGCTCCATACAAGACATAAGGAGTTATCGTGGAGCATACTGTGATTCGGATCATACTCTAATTAGAATCAAACTATGTCAGAGGCTGAAGCGAATCCACGAAGTTTGGGATCAAGTTGACAAATGCGTGTACAAATGATCCTAAATGCAGAGTACAAGGAGGAGTATCTCAAGCCTTTGAAGTTCGAACAGGTTTGAGGCAGACAGATGGACTCTCGCCAATGCTGCTCAACTTAGCCTGGGGGAAAGTAATAAGAACAACATCACACAAAGATGGAGGGGTGCACGTCAGAATGAAATATATGAGGATGATATAGCTGCACTCGGAAACAACGAAGAGGATATTGAGAGACTCGCTCGGACTCTATTAAGAGCAGCAGAGGAAATCGGGCTACAAGTCAATGAAGATAAAACAAAATATATGATAGTTATTTGAAATATCCACCCTGATAGCATGATCTGAGTGGACTCTAAGTCATTCTCGAAAGTAGATACATTCCAATACCTCGGCTCCACAATAACCTTAATAAATGATCAATTAACGGATATAGTCCAGCAAATAACAAGTACGAATAGAGCTTCCTTCTCTCTTTCAAGGGTACTGAAATCCAAAAAAATCTCCAGAAATCTCAAACTAAGGGTATACAAGGCCTTGATAAAGCCAGTTATGCTGTATGGCTGTGAAACTTGGCTTCTAACCGGCACCCTAGAAAGCAGAATTGAGAGATTCGAAAGATAAATCTTCCATACCATAAAAGGACCTATATGGGATCAGAACCTTAACACATGGAGGAGGAGAAACAATAAGGAACTGCTAAAAGAAACTGGTCAATCCCATGGTACGAATGCAAGGACGTTAAGATGGGCGAGGAAGTTTTTAGAATGTTTGAAAATGAATTTAGGGCCGAATATAGGAAATAAAAATTCCCGTTAAGATTTTTTTACTATTGACATAAAATCTGTGGGAGTAATGTGATTTCATTATAAAACATTCATCGTTTATTGATTAAATGTAATCTTTAATTCATAATTTTATTTATATTTTAAAGTCAGTTTTATTTATATATTTTTCTCTGTTTGGCATTACAGTACGTGTAGATTTTTTTGTCGCCTTAACATGCCTGTTCCATCTCTGCCAGTCTTGGGCTATTTCTTTCCATTTATCTGCACTCAGCTCTGTTGCATTTTTGTTGATTCTATCTATCCATCTTCTTTTTGGCCTTCGACGTCGTCTTTCGCCTATTATTGAGGCATTCTTTGTAACATGCCCCGTCCACCTTAACCTCCTTGTATTCATACCATGAGATATTGATTGACCAGTTTCTTTGAGCAGTTCTTTATTGTTCCTCCTCCTCCATGTATTAAGGTTCTGATCCTATAAAGGACCTGTTATCGTGCAGAGGATTTTCCTCTCAAATCTTTCAACACTTTTTTCTAGGGTGCTGGTTAGTGCCCAAGTCTCACAGCCATATATTAGAACTGCCTTTATCATAGAATTGTACACCCTTAATTTGAGATTTGTCGGGATTTCAATAGCCTTCAGAGGGAGAAGAAAGCACTGTTTGCGCTAGTAATACGCTGGTCTATTTCTGGCAGTTGGTCATTCATTGAGTATATTGTCGAGCTGAGGTATTTGAATTTTTATACTCTCGGGAATGATTTTCCTTCTACGCAGATCCTATTATTGGGATAGAATTTTCGGATGTCAGTTTAACATAATACCGAAATGGCAAGAACTTTTGGCCACGTTTTCCTATATTCTGGACCATTGGTATCTTCTTAAGTTATTTCGATTAATGAAAAATGTTAAGTTGGTATCAATAAAGAAAAGAACTAGGGGTCTAGTTTTCCGACCTTCGACTAAGGAATGCACATTTTAAGATTTTATCCGAATTAAATGTTCGTAAAACCGTTGGAAAACTGAATTAACGCTCTTCCAAACCACATTGATAGGTTTTAGAATCCATTCATTTCTAAGCTAGAAATTTAGAAAAAGCCATTTTTATTTTATATCTTTGGCTCTAACTTGCTTATGGAGGTCGTATTTATGGCATTTTGTATAAAATACAGAGCCCTACAATAATACTCATACCACACACATACCTTCTCATTTAATACTATAATTAATATTTTATTCTTAAACTGCACAAAAAAAAAAAAAATCTGGACAAAGCAAAGACAAAAATTAATAAAATTAATTTTGTTCGAAATTATATTCAAACAATTTTCTCGGTCCCAAGGTTGCATTGGCAAGAACCCTCGGATATATTTCGAATTTTTTTCAACCTGTTATAACCAAAATAAGTTTCATTAAAATCGGTGGCCCCACATCTGTAACCTCAACTTGTAAGTAGGTTATCCTTTAGAGCGTTATTTGAGAGAATAATCTACCATTTCTCATATATGTAAATATTTTAAAGCGTAATGATATGATGTTGATTATGATATATATTTTCAGGTTATGGTCATATTGCTCCTAAAACACAACTTGGGAAGGTTTCTACTATATTTTATGCCATTGTAGGAATACCGCTAATGCTGTTGTGTTTGTCGAATATAGGAGACATAATGGCTCACTCTTTTAGGTTTCTTTATTGGCGGGTCTGCTGTTACTCCTGTACTAGAGAGGAACAGAGTAGGCAAAATTCAAGAAGAAGGCAGAGAATGCACTCAGGGTATCATTCGTTTCAAATATTTATGATTATTTAAAACCTTTGTTATTTCTATAAATCTATGTTTTGTTTTGAAGAACTATTGAAACAGAAAAGTTGTGCTCTTTCTGTTTACAACTCTGAAACTGAAGCCAGAGATGGGCAAATGCTACTTTGAGTATCGAGTACCAAGTATTTTATTCAAATTGTGTCAATGTTGGGAATTCAATCACTGGTTGAAGTTAATCGTTTGACATCACCTGAAGTAATAGTTAAATTCTTTGGTACTCATCAAAGGCCAGTATTTGAGTAAAATACTTGGTACTCAGTACTCATAATAGCATTCGCCCATCTCTGACTGAAGATTCATTAAATGTAAAAGAACGATACTTTCTTTTCGCTATGTTTTGGATTTCCTAAAGTAAGGCTCATAACAAGGTGAGGCTTCAAGAACCAATTTTCCCTCCTGCTCACTGTATCTAGTGATCATTACCCTACTGCCACCTGAGGACGCGCCACGTATTACTTAATGAGCCAGCAACATTTTTATTTAACCGGAAGATATTGTCTATATACATTTGTAATATGTACTGACTGAAAGTGTTGTGATCGTGAAACATTTCGAATCCGAATTTAGAACGAAAATATACTTTTTGACGTCCACCTGAGTCCACCATAACCAAGCCCTACAATTTTTTTTTAAGGAGGGTAGGTGGAAACCTTCAAAAGATACGAATAGGCCCTACCTATCCACGAGTGGGATTCATAAACCCTCTAAAACCACCTCCCATAAACCAGTTTTCTACCCTCCACGGGACTACCGTTAAACATTACTTCATCGTGGGGGAGTGGCTGTGTGCCGCCTCATTTCCTTAGGCTACATTCTGGCTCCCCTTTTCTTCTTCTCACTCCTCAGTCTCTTAAATATCTGAGCTATCGGGCGTTGTCCTGCCATCCAGCACTCTTGGGAGAGCAACATCAGTCCATCCATTATCAGCCGTATGTTCTGATCCGAAGGAATCTCTAAATTCTTCCCCCTTTTCCCGAAAGCAGGGACAAAAATACTTCAATTGGACAGAAGGTTGTCATCATGCGCAGGACTTTAAAAAATCATTCCTCCGACAATAAATAATTCATTGAATGAATTATTTTGTTTATTTGGTGCAAAAGGAAAATAAGAAATCTCTGTTAAACGTACTAAATATGTAAATACTTATAAATTGTAAGTGCTCTATCCCACCTATTCTTATATCAATGTATACAAAATTTAAAGTTGAGGAATAATTGAAAAAAAATATTAAAAGTCTATTTTTCCTATCCAGATAAATTATATTAATATTAATCTACATGACACATATATTTTCATTTTTGTGAATTATAGTAGTCTGACCCATGTAAAAATAAACACCACAAGAAAAACTGATAACGATAAATAGCCCATTGTGTTTTATGTTTAGATATGACCGCAACGTTACAAGAGATGTTCTTCAGTCTTCTTATAATATGCGAAGTATGGGTCCTTCGCAAGTAGGCGATAAACAACTCTACAAACAAGGTAATTTCTTTTTCGTATATATTGTAGAATAAATCTATTGGGTTTATTCATGAAAAAAATCAATGTCAATTTTTATTTACTTTACAAAGAAGCAGAAGACTGGGAAATAATTGGAGAAGAAGAGATAAAAAATCAAAAGCGGATAAGACGAGGAGGAAGTGGTTCATATGGAAGGTATTCCAGATCAAAGCTTCCTCCGTACGAGGTTAGAGAAGGTAAGAAGAAATTTAATAAAGAAATTAGTACTAGTCAATGACAGATTCAGAATATTTCGAAAAAGAGTGCAATATTTTTTTTTTTAAAGTAAGCTGTCTGGCATAAATAAATATAGTGTCGTGGAAAAAAACGAATGCCTTGCCTGCCGGGTTATAATCAGCATTTATTTATGGCTGTTTTAATTAATTTAAATCGGTGAAGCTCTGAAAGGTATATGGAAGTAATTTCAGTGAATGTAATGGAAGGATCACATTTGTGCATTAGCATATATCTCCTTACAATATTAACCTACATCCGCTGCCAATTTTTCAGGCGAGGCCTCACTCGTGGCCATAATCCACAATGGACGTGTAATGTGGCCGGTACATCATACAAGGGGTTTGCTTGATTAGTCTTGTAGTTTCCTCCTAAACTTATCTGAATTTTCTCCTAAATCCGTCAACTCCCTAAATGTTTTGTTGTTTTAATTATTTATTCATGGTATTTACAACTGTAATACCATATAAATACATCAAATATATGTGTACACAGAAATATAATCACATGAAAACGCTTGTTGATAAACTACACACTGGTAGCATTCTTATAATATGTCTACATAAGGAGATCACGAATCATCATCTTCTTTTCAGACGCCTCGGAATGTTGTAAGGAATCGAAGAGGAAGCAAGGTTAGAAACGAGAGGATTCGGATGGTTCTGAAGCTTATTATAAGAATAGATATCTGGAGTGGGCCAAATCGGAAGCCTGTGGACCATTAAGATCTTTATGGATTATTTTATTTGTGAAAAAGTAAGGAGCATTGAGGAGTTTACGAAGGATTTTGGATTGTAAAAATTGGATACGATAGGAATTTGATGGTTTATTGGAGCCCCATATCTCAACTCCGTAAGTCCAAATAGGCCTTATTATAGTCATGTATATGATTCTTTTGTAATTAATTGGAAGTTGTCTAGCAAATGTTGGAGTAAGCGGAAACGTCAACCAGTTTCTTGTCGTTTCAGTCTTGTATGAAGATTCCAAGTGAGACGTTTGTGCAAGTGGAGTCCTAGGTATCGGATTTGTTCAACAGAGATAAGTGGGGTGATATTAAAGGATACAGTAGGACAGGTAGTCATAGGTTTATGACGATGGATAAAGTTGATTTGATGGGATTTATTGGAATTTATTTTAATCCTCCATTTTTACACCATTCTTCAAGGTTTGTGATGTGTTATTGAATTTTTTAGTATGCAATTCATGGATCGTTATTAACTGATTGGATACTTGTACCATCGGCATACATGGTGATGACAGTGTTATGATGGGTTGGGATATCAGCTGTGCTATGTTTTATCCCCCGAAAAGGAATGACATTAAAAATGCTACGTTTTGGGGTGTTTAAATTTATTTGGGATGCCTCTGGGTAATTACTGATCCTAATTACCCAGAAATGTTTAATAAAAAAATAGTAAAATCAATTTTGATATTGGAATATATTGATTGGTCCAGAATTAATTAATTGGATTTCTTTTCTCAAAAATTGGTTTGTGTTTACCATACCGTCTAATTACACACATTACCTGTGATCATCATGATATAAATAGGTGGCAGAATTAAAATAACTCTTACTGGAAAACTCAATTTATTTCTATGTTTAATAAAGAATATATATAAATTATAATTACAAAAACAAAATACGTGATTCAATGAATTTAATAATTAACTGTGAAGGCACGATTTCAGATGGAGTGTTTTGAGAATTTTCGCCATGAAATATTATAACATTAGGATTGGGAATTACAACTTATCTATTGTCTATGAAGTGGTGTGGTTGGTAGATTTCATCGCTGCATCTGCTGATCCGAGGTCATCTGTCAAGGCCAGGTCCAAAACTCTTCCAGGATCTTCATGGTCTATGTTGAGCCAAGGCTTCAGTCCCCAAGCCGGAAGAAAACATAAGATCCATCCTCAAGGTCGGACATCAACATAGAACCCCTTTTCATACTTCGCGGCGTATTATATACAAATATTCAGGGTGCGGCAAAGATGGTTTCCATTGATTCTTAACTTCACCCTATTACTTCGCAATAACTGGTAACATCCTAAAAGGAACCAGTTTCATAGCCCGTTAGTAGTTTTTACTCTAAGCCTTCCCCAGGGTCCATACCAGGTACAGGTCGGTCCTTATCAACCTGTTCCTCTTCTCTTGACGCTGTATTTGGTGTCAGAAGTCGGTTTCATTCAACATTGTTTTTGACAAATAATAATTTTAAAAACTTATTTGAATACATCGCAGCTGTATAAACTGTGTAAAGGTTAGGACCAAGTATACTACCTTGAGGAACACCAGCAGATTGAGAAAAGAGGGATGATTTGGCATTATTGTGGTTTACTTTGAAGTGTTTATTAGTAAGGTAGGAACTGATGATAGGAAGATATGTAGGGAGGAGGAATTAACGAGTTTGTAAAGCAAACCCGGGTGCCAAACACGAACAACCACCTATTCAACGTCACGAAAGACTCCAGTGCAATACATTCCGCGCTCCAATGCATAGGAGAAAACGTCTACCACATTATGGCATTGCTGGATAGTTGAATGGGATATTATTATTATTATAATTGTAATGGCACTACGGTCCTGAGAATCCGGCCATCTTCCACTACAGCCAACCAATCTCCATTGTCTTGTGCTACTTCCCTCCACCTTCAAACGCCCAGCCGCCTCAGATCGTTCTCTACATCCTCCAGCCATCTGATCCGTGAGAGCTCTCTACTTTTTTGCCATCCGGCTTCTCATGCAGCATTCTCTTTGGCATTCTATGACCTAACCGTGTTATTTTGGCTCTTTTTATCAATGCCACTATATCAGGTTCACCATAAAGTTCCCCCAGCTCTTCATTCTTTCTTCTTCAAACTCCATTCTCAAATATTCCGCCCCACATTCTTCTCAGTATCTTTCTCTCCCAGAAGTTTCTGTTCTGAGTTTTTTGTTAAGGTCCAAGTCTCACACCCATACATAACCACTGGCCTTACTATGATTTTGTAGATGAGGATTTAGATTCTTTTAGAGTGATCTTAATATCAAGTCTCTTTGCAGAGAGAAGTAGCATCTATTTCCCGCTGCTATCCTGGCCTTTATTTTACACTCTATTTTATTAATTCGTGTAACTAGGCTTCCATGTACTTAAACTGGTCAACAGACCTAAAGTTGTGATCCCTTAAACCTATTCCCGTATTCACTTCCTTTTCCATTTTTGAACTTTTCATGTACACCGTCTTTTTTTCATTAACTCTAAGTCCCAGTTTAGCTGTTGCTTCTTCGAATTCCTGGAAATTTCCTGATAATGCTGCTTGGGTTCTAGAGATAATGCCAATATCATCAGCATATGCTAGATGCTGAGACAGACGATTGTAGATTGTTCCTCCTGGATTTGTTCAAATAGAACGAATAGCCACTTCCAGGTTTAGATTAAAAAGAAGAGGAAATAGAGGATGGTCGTGTTTAAGTCCATTATCCACCTCAAATTCTTCTTCCATCCATATCTCATAATAAATTAAGTTATAAATTTCCTCCTACATGGGATATACGAAACCCAAATTGGTGTTCAGGGAATATGTGGTTAGAGTGTAGGATGGGATAAAGGCGTTTTGAGATAAGCTTTTCAGGGAGTTTGCCTATCATACGTAAAAGAGAGATAGGGCGGTAGGAGGATGGATATTCTGATGGCTTTTTGGGTTTATGAATCATTTTGACAATAGATAGTTTTCAAGGGTCAGGAAAATATTTGGAACGGAGTACGGCGTTATATATGTAAGTAAGGAATAGAATGGCTTTTCGAAGAAGTAGTTTATGGATATGGAATGTTACTACGTCGTGGCCAGTGAGAGTAATCTGTGAATAATATTAGTTAAAGCTGAAAGATGAAATGCCATGTGGTGAGCATTATTTTAGGATGTTTCTTTGTCGGACTTGGACCAGGTTTGAGCTCCGGTAAGAAGTGGATGGTTACAGCAATTAAATTTCATGAGCCTTTTAGTGGTCGTCTATAGTGATTGGCCGGTAGGTGTTACTTTTTCAGTCAAATTTAGTAAATTTTTAATTTTGTATTTTCCAATTTCTGATTTTAGTTTGTTAGTAAATGACAGTGGGTCAGCTGATGCGAAAGGTTGTGTTCTCAACTCGTCTCTCAGTATTTACTTACTTTTCAGCGGAATCTCTCTGATTATTCACTGAATACAGTTCAGGTGTACATCAAAACAGTTGATATTTACAGTTCGATATTATTTTTTTCCCCTTTTATTTTTCTTCTCTTATGATATGTGGTATTATCACCAAGTGATGTCCAGTAAGGTTCCCGCGAAGCGGAATCGGTCAGATGGCTCTACCTCTCGTGGGTCACCAGCTAAACAAATAACTCGTCGCAGTCTACGAGAAACACCTCCTCCAATGAGCATAATAAACACTTCAGAACCAGAACCTCGGTCTCAACCAGGTACGTCTTACCAAGAAATGGTTGAAGATTCCACTTTCTTTACTCTAAATTAGTTCCAAATGCTTCAGAATGACAGAGAAGTAATGGAGTCTGCATCAATACCCAGCGAACAAAGACCTTTCCCGATGGTTTTAGAAAATATCAAAAATTTCCATTTATGTACACAACTAAAGAAAATCTGATCTGGCAGTCATTCTCGCCTCAACAAGACCAAAGATACAAAAATAACACCAAATCCTGCTGAAACCTACCGAAAACTAGTGAAGTACATATCAGGAACGTATGAAAATTAGCATACGTACCAGGTGAGGCTAGAAAGAGCGTTACGAGTGGTGATAAGCAATTTGCACTCCTCAACTCCAAATGAAGTTATAAAAGAAGAACTAGAGATGATTGGTTCCAAAGTACGTCAGGTAATCAACGTTTTAAAGGAAAATAAGCAGAAGCCAGGAGGGAGAAATTAAGTCCCACTACCTTTGTTTTTCGTAGACCTGGAGCCATCACCAGGTATCGAAAAGGTTTATGATATCACTAGAATATTCTATACTAGCATGAAAGTTAAGAAACCGTATCCAAAGAGAGAAATCGTGTAGTGCTACAATTGTCAGGCGTACGGCCACACGAAGACATATTACCACCAGTTGTCACTTTGTGTGAAATGCTGTGAACATCAATTTAAGTTCCAGGAGTTTGTGCCCTATGTCTGGAGGGACATCCGGTCAACTATAAGGGTTTCCAAATTCACAAAAACCTCAAAACCAACTACCAGAAGACCCGGATTCAAAATTAGACAACCAGACCAATAAGAGAATCTTCTAGAATAGTTCATCATTCTCCCAACTAATTGGAGTTAATAACCAAACTGATATATATGAAGCCCTGCCGCAAAAACAACCTTAATCCTATCTACAAGATACTATCCATCTCAATACATTTAACAATGAACAACCTCACCAATTACTTATATTCCTCCTCCTCCAAATGCCACAGATTTCAACTGTTTGCTGGCATCTTTTATTTCACTGACTTTAAATCGCTTGTTTCCCCAATCATATCACTCCTTACAAATTTCGTATCTCACCTCATCCCTCCCTTAAAAATCACTAATTAACACACATCACGAAACCCATATCCATTCTCCTTTGGAATGCGAATGATGTTAGAAATCACGTTGACGAACTAACAGCTCTACTACTGGACAAGAAAGTCGACGTAGCACTAATTACGAGAATTCAACTGACCAAAAACAACTTTTAAAAATATCACAGTACATAACATACCAATCATCCTGACTGTAGAGCACATGCCGGCTCTGCTGTAATTGCAAATCAATCTCTCTCTCATCACCTACTCCCATTACCAATGCAAGATTTCCTACGATTCACCGACATTATAATTCTCCTTTCCCATCACTCTAGCAGGAACATACTGCCTTCCTCACAGACGTATACCTAATGTCCAGTTCAGTTCTCTCCTCAACTCCTTAGGACTTCATTTCATCCTGAGTGCATACTTAAACGCCAAGCATCAAGAATGCGGTTCAAGATCCACGAACTTTAGTGATTGAACATTGCTGTCCGTACTCAATTCACAACGTTTCGGCCTCATTCCACCCAACTAACCTACTAACCTACCTACTAGCCCACTGATCCCAACCGCAATCCTGACATCCTCGATTTTTTTATACACGGTGGTTTAGGTCCCCTCAATCATTCCCTTACCCGTCTTGATGAACTTTCCTCAGATCATAGACCAGTAATACTCCAATTATCTCTTGCTCCTATTCCTAAAGGTTCTCCACCGTCGTTCATCAGAGGTCCAGTTAACTAGAAACTCTTTCATCAAATCCTTTCCGTTAAATTGACCTCAGAAGAACTTTTAAATCCCCAAAAGACCTTGACAACGCCGTGTATTTCTTTACCATCACCATTCAACAAGCAGCATGGTTCCTCTGCTTCCTCTCCAAATCATTCCTCAGGAAAACCTAAGAAAAATAATATACCCCAACATCTCATAGACCTAATCCACGCCAAACGCCGTGCCAGAATTTGATGGCAACGTACTAAACATCCCATCGATCGTCGCTCCTGCATTGTTACTGTAAACTAGTAAAGTAAGAATTATCATCCTTCAGATCCCAATCCTTTAATTCCTACCTTACTTCCCTTTCTGTTCGTGAAAAGTCCCTCTGGAAAACCACCAGAAAAAAATCTAAAATTCCATCATATTTCCCACGCTTTCTGTCGATGCGATGGCTCCTGGGCAGCTTCTGATGAAGACAAAGCTGAGGAATTCGCAAGACATTTCCCAGTGTATTAACTCTTCATCCATAATCCTATCTCATTCATCCATACAGCAAAAGTAGAAGAATTCCTCTCCTCACCCACTCTCCTTACCACCTAAAGCAGTTAATATGTTTAAGATCAAATATCTTTACCTAAATTCACACCTCGTAAATCTTCTGGATACGTCCTCCAAGCCCCACAGATCCTTCCACAAACTCCACCCAAAGCTATCATATTCCGCACATATATTTATAATTGCATCTTAAGAACTACCAAATTTCCTCTTTTATGGGAACATTCCGCAATTATCCTTTTGCTGAAAACAGGCAAACCTTCCAACAATACATCATCCTATAGACCAATTAGTCTACTCCCAATCCTTTCAAACATTTTTGAAAAGATCCTACTGAAAAATTGTTACCCATAATAGAATCCCAAAACCTTCCTAAACCCCCCCCCCCCCATTCGGATTTCATTCCTAGCTTCAACCAGCAGTACTAGATGACATGCCGTGATGAATAATTATAATGTAGGTCGAAACGTTGATGAATGTAATAAAAAACTACCCTAATATATAGTATATCTATTGACCACACTCTTCACCAACTTCTTTATACATTAGACTTTATATACCACTCCAGATTTTTTTAGTTAAGTAAATGATAATTTCTAATTTTCATTTCCTATTGTATTAAATTTTCAATTTTTATATTCTATTCTGACCGTCTATTGGGTGGTATTATAGCTAAAGCATGTCCTGGATACGATCAATCTTAGGCTTAAAATATTTCATATATTTCAACGGAATATAATAAACTTATAACATGACGTATAACATGTTTAAGTTACAATAGACTAATAACGAGCTCAAGTTATGTATTATATAAAATATTAACAATATTCTACATATTAATGCCCACCTTTTACAAAATGATGGTTTCTTATAATATTTTGAATAGAAAACATCTGCATCATGATAGAAAGAAGATGACAAAACATTATGAAGGATATATTACTGATTTTATATTTATTACTTATCATTAATATGATCATTTCAGTAATAAATATAATATGTTTGTAATGAAATCACAGAAATCCTTTGCCGTATTATCGATAGAGAATCTGTAAACTAGCACTTAAATTAATAATGACAAAATGATTTTTGTCCCCTAGCCCGGAAAAATCGCCGTTTAGCCTAAAAGGGGAGTTGGGAGTAAAAGGAAAAAAAAAATGATATAATTAGAAGTAATTTTACTAACTATTGAATCCATATTGACTGAATCATCTTTAAAATATTTTACAAATCAAAACTACTGGATAAAGTAAACTTTAATTTTCAGGTATCCAAGAGGTACAGCATTCAGTTTTATATAATAAATATGCGATTGACAACGATGATTATAACAAAGGTAAGAATTTTAATTTTATTTTTTTATAGTTATTTGTGATAAAAATGTAAATAGCTAATCTCATCAATAGTATGATGCCAAAGAGATTATGGCCAAAAAATTATTTGGCCTACATTACTGGAAGCACCTATTTATTTCGTAATTTGTGATACATTATTACTCATTTATTACAATAGTTAATATTTTTTAATATTCTGCAAAAAAAAAAAAAAAAACTATTGATATATAGTAACCTAAAAATTTGGGCAAAGCAAAGGCAAAAATAAATAACATAAACTTCGTTTGAAGTTATATAAAATATTTTTATATAATCTCCGCTCCCATGGTCCATTAGAAACAACGCCGGGACACGTATCCAATATAGGAAAATCAAGTACTTGAGGTATTTTTTAATTTATATAAAAATTCGTGTTTAAGAGTTTTAAAGGGTCCTAAAAAGGAATCTAATCTGTTTTTTGTTTTTTTTTATTTGGCATATTTTATTGGGAGCACCTTTTAGTTTTTGTAATTTATGATACATTATAACTCATTTAATACAATAGTTAATATTGTTTTATTATTCTGCGAAAAAAAACCAAATCGATTCATACATATAGTAACCTAAAAATTCGGGCAAAATAAAGGTAAAATAAATAACATATATATATTAGCGGCCCATTGGAAAGAACGCCGTTCCACGTTTGACACGTGTCCAATATTTTTCGATGAAGTATCATCAAAATAAATTTGGTTGAAATCGGTTGTTCTGCGAAAAAAAAAATCGTTTCATATATATAGTAACCTAAAAATTCGGGCAAAATAAAGGCAAAAATAAATAACATATATATATATATATATTAGCGGCCCATTGGAAGTTCCACGTTTGACACGAGTCCAATATTTTTCGATGAAGTATCACCAAAAAATATTCGGTTGTAATCGGTAACCCACAGACTGTACGGGCAATAACTTTTCTCCCTTAAAAAATGTATTTCTTAAGCTATTTTATAATATGTAGTCTTTGAATTTTATTTCATTCAATATTTCCTTAACACAGTTGCTTTATTAATAGGATAGATCTGCGCATGCGCTTGATTTGAATACCCACATTTCACGTCGTGTCCCACAGTTTTACTATTTTTTAGTAGAATAAGTGCTCAGTTTTACTTTTTTTTTAAAAAACTAGCTAAGCAGACATCAAAACAACAACAATGGACTAACACCACAGTGAGTAGTGTTGTTATTTACTGTGTACTATTACAGACAGTGAATTTAGTGATTTAGGTCTATAGGCTTAATCTCTATAGCCATAACAGCTGACGGCTCCCCTCTCCAGTTGTGGCCCAGCCACGTAACTGGCTGGTTCTCAGCCGGCGGTTCATCCATTGTAATAACACACAGACGTAGTTTTATTTATTTATTTTTTTTTCCCTTTCGTTTTTTTTTTTTATATGCGATATTACCACCAAGTAATGTCAACTAAGAGGTCCCATTCAGTTGGCTCTACCCCACGTAATTCACCGCCTAAACAGAAAACACGTCGTAGTAAGCGATTAACACCCCCCGGAACTCCTCCAGCGAACACTCAAGTATCTGTGTCTCAACCACTGCCAAGTACGTCTTCACAAGAAATGGAATCTCCATTTTTTACACCTAATCCATACCAGGTGCTTGAAAATGACAGGGAAGAAATGGAAGATGCACCTATACCTCGAGAACCACGCCCACCTCCTATCTTTGTCAAAAATTTGAGAAATTTCCAGTTGTTGTGTACTCAACTTAATAAAATCTGCCCAGGTAGCTATACATGCCTAAACAGAATAAATGATACAAAAATAATACCGGCCACACCTGAAGCGTACCGAAAAATCGTAAAATATTTAACAGACACAAATGCGGACTTTCACACATACCAGTTGAAACAGGAAAGAGCACTACGAGTTGTAATAAGAAATTTACACTCCTCAACCCCAATAGAAGTGATTAAAGAAGAGTTAACGGCGTTAGGGTTCAAAATACGTCAGATAACCAATGTTTTAAAAGAAAATAAAGAACAACCAGGTGTAAAGAATAAAATCCCATTGCCCTTATTTTTCGTCGATCTAGAGCCATCGCCTGGGATCGAAAAAATATACGATGTGAATAGAATTTTCTACACCAGCGTAAAGGTCGAAAAACCGTACCCAAAAAGAGAGTTCATCCAGTGCCATAATTGCCAAGCATATGGCCACACCAAGTCTTATTGCCACCACTTACCACGCTGCGTGAAATGTGGTAAAACACACAAGTCTGGCGAGTGTAATAAACCAATTACAGAACCAGCAGTCTGTGCCCTATGCCTGGAAGGCCATCCAGCCAACTACAAAGGCTGCCAAATTTATAAAAATCTTAAAGCGAGATATATGAAACCCAGGGACCCTGATGATACACCTAAACCAAGAAGAGGACCCGCTAAAATTGTGAACTCTAAGGTTTCTTTTGCCAAGCTACTTGGGGGTAGAGACCCGACTAATGTATGTGAGGCCCTGCCGCAAGAACAAACTCAACCCCAATCTCAATATCCTATCCCACCTAATGTACCTAATCAACAACAACCTCACCAACATCAAATCCAATATGTTCCTCCACCGCCTAATGCTACAGATCTAACCAGCTTATTGACATCCTTTCTTTCAGAATTTAAATCCCTTGTTACCCCACTGATATCACTTCTCACTAACCTAGTATCTCACCTTATCCCTCCTTTAAAAAATCCTTAAATGACTTCCATCAAACCCATATCCATTCTCCTTTGGAATGCGAATGGTGTTAGAAATCACATACACGAACTAACAGCCTTACTACAAGACAAGAACGTAGACGTAGCCCTAATAACGGAAACTCGACTGACTAAAAAACAGCTCCTAAAAATACCACAATACATAACTTACCGTACCGACCATCCTGACGGTAGAGCACATGCCGGTACTGCAGTCATTGTGCACCAATCCCTCTCCCATCACCTACTCCCACTGCCTACACACGATTTCCTACAATCCACCGCAGTCGTAATCAAAACCTTCTCCTTTCCTATTACCGTTGCATCAGCGTATTGCCCTCCAAACCAATCCATCTCCAATATCCAATTTAGTTCCTTCCTCATTTCCTTAGGACATCATTTCATCTTGGGTGCAGACTTAAACGCCAAGCATCAACAATGGGGTTCAAGAACCACGAATTCTCGTGGTCGAACATTGCTGTCTGTACTCAATTCCCAAAATTTTACCCTTCTTCCACCCAACTCACCTACCTACTGGCCCACTGATCCTAACCGTAATCCCGATATCCTCGATTTCTTTATCCATAATGGTTTAGGTGCTCTCAACCATTCCGTTGCCCGTCTTGACGAGCTTTCCTCAGACCACAGCCCATTAATACTCCAAGTATCACTAGCTCCTATTCCTAAACCCTCTCCTCCGTCCTTCATCAGAGGCCCAGTTAACTGGAAACTCTTTCATCAAATCCTCTCCGATAAAATTGACCTCAGAGTAACCCTGAAAACCTCTGAAGACCTGGACAATGCAGTACATTCCTTCACTACCAAAATTCAAGAAGCAGTCTGGACTGCTTCCTCCCCTGATCACTCCTCAAAAATCCTTAAGAAACATAATTTACCTCAACACCTCCTTGACCTAATCCACATAAAACGCCGTGCCAGATTATTATGGCAACGTACCAGACATCCAGCCGACCGCCACTCCTACAATTATCACTGTAAAAAATTAAAACAAGAATTAGCCACCTTCAGATCCCAATCATTCAATTCCTACCTCACCACACTCTCTGCTCATGATAATTCCCTTTGGAATATCACCAGAAAAATCCTCAAATCCCATCATATTTCCCACCCTCTTCGACGAGATGATGGCTCCTGGGCAGCATCTGATGAAGATAAAGCCGAGGAATTTGCCAAACACCTTTCCTATACTTTCGCTCCTCATCCAGAATCCCATCCCAGCCACACAGTAAAAGTAGAAGAATCCCTCTCAATACCTATCCCACTCTCCTTACCACCTAAAGCTGTTAATCCCTCTGAGGTCAAATACCTTTTACGGAAAATCACACCTCGCAAATCTCCTGGATATGACCTTCTAACCCCACAGATCCTTCGACAACTTCCATCTAAAGCCATCATATTTCTTACATATATATACAATTGCATCCTACGAACTACCCACTTCCCTCTTTTATGGAAACATTCCACCATCGTCCTCTTCTTGAAACCAGGCAAACCTTCCAACAATACAGCATCCTATAGACCAATTAGCCTACTCCCAATCCTCTCAAAAATTTTTGAAAAGATCCTACTGAAACGAATCCTACCTATAATTGAATCCTATAACCTTCCTACTCATCAATTCGGATTTCGTTCCCAACATTCCACTGTCCAGCAAGGACTCCGAGTTGTTGACCATATATCCTCAACCCTAGAAAGCAAGCAGTATTGCTCGGGTGCATTTCTGGACATAGCGCAAGCTTTTGACCGGGTATGGCACGCCGGATTACTCTTCAAGCTTAAAATCCATCTACCACAGTCCTTATACCTAGTACTCCGATCCTATCTTTCCGACCGCTCCTTCCGAGTTCGCTGTGGCACCGAATTCTCCGACTGTTACTCAATTGAGGCTGGCGTTCCTCAAGGCAGCGTCTTGGGCCCCATCCTTTACATTCTCTTTACCGCTGATATTCCTGTCCATCCCGATACCCTCCTGGCAACTTTCGCTGATGACACTGCTATCCTTTCTTCCAACTCAGATCCTGAAACAGCGTCCGCAAACTTACAAAGGCACCTCTTCCTGATTGAACACTGGTGTAAGAAATGGCGCATTAAGGTAAACGAATCTAAATGTAAACACATTACCTTCACCCTTCGGCGTAATACCTGCCCACCAGTTTATTTTAACTCCATCCAGCTTCCTTTCTCAGATACAGTCCGGTATCTTGGCTTTCTCTTAGACAGACTACTAACATGGAATCCACAT